TTGGTTTTGTTTCGACTAAGCTAATTCGCTGTGACGCAGTGATTTCTTCGCTAGGTAGTTGCCGTGGTTTCGTCGGTCGTAGGTTTTCGTGGATGTGAGATGTCTTCTCAGATGTGGTCGTCAAGGAGAGAGGGAATCACTTTTGATAGAGTCGGGTCGCGCCAAAAAGGCCATTGGGACGCGACCACTAAAAACGCGCCGGTGTGCAGCGTACCGGGCGAGGTAAGTGGAAGCTTAAACGCCAATTGCAGGGGAGCCCCCGCCACATTGGAGACGTTCGCAGCGTCCCCAGTGACCCCAATTAGCTGGGAGACGGCAAATCGGCCATCACTGTCCTCATCATCCTTGCTCACCCAGCTAGCCTCGTCGCCGCAGTCTGCGACTACATATTCGTGCCTCCTCCTGGTGATTGGCAATCTAAGAAAGTCTGCCTAGAGAACATCTACGACTACACACCATACGAAGCCTTGTTAGAACAAGAGCCAAACCGAACGAAAAAGCAGCCAAACTCCGGGGACGACACTCATTGGGACGTCCGGCCCTTCACCACGACTCCTCGACCGCCGCGAACATGAGCACGGCGTGGATGCGACAATGACTTCCCGAAGCACATCCTTCTCGCACAGCCCGCACCGGCCCCCGCGCCCTTCCATCAGCTCGAGGATCTCCTTTGCCGTCTCGACCGCCGAACAGAGCGAGCACGATGACGAGGCCGCCGGCGCCCCGCCCGCGAGTCATCAGCAGCAACAGATCGAGGACGAGATCGCCGAGATCAAGCGCTACGAGGACTTCACCACCATAGACTGGGTACAAGATGCCGCCAGGGAGCAGGCGCGCAAGAAGCTGCGTCGAAGGCGGCGCGCCGGCATGCTCGACACAGGTCAGGCGGCGGGCTGGAGGTATCGTCTGCGAGAGTCCTACGACGCTGCGCAGGGCTGGCTCGTCGTCACGCTGATTGGTATCGCCATTGGACTCAACGCTGCGTTCCTGAACATCATTACGGAGTGGTTGTCCGATATAAAAATGGGGCACTGCACAACGGCGTTCTACCTGAACGAGAACTTTTGCTGCTGGGGAGAGGACAATGGATGCGACGAGTGGCATCCCTGGACGGGGTTTGGCCCAGCCAACTACGTTATCTACATTGTCGTTGGCGCCCTCTTCGCCTTCACGTCGGCCACTCTGGTCAAGTCGTTTGCACCGTACGCCGCGGGATCGGGTATCTCGGAGATCAAGTGCATCATTGCGGGCTTCGTCATGAAGGGATTCTTGGGATTCTGGACGCTCTTGATCAAGTCCGTCTGTCTGCCCCTGGCCATCGCCTCTGGTCTGTCCGTCGGCAAGGAGGGCCCCAGTGTACACTACGCCGTGTGTACCGGAAACGTCATTTCTCGCTTATTCGAGAAGTACCGACGCAACGCCTCCAAAACGAGAGAGATACTGAGCGCCTGCGCCGCTGCTGGTGTCGCCGTCGCGTTCGGTAGTCCAATTGGCGGAGTGCTTTTCTCTCTGGAAGAGATGTCTAACTACTTTCCCCTCAAGACGTTGTGGCGCAGCTACTTCTGCGCTCTTGTGGCGACGGCTGTGCTTGCGGCCATGAACCCCTTCAGGACGGGACAGCTCGTCATGTTCCAGGTCCACTACGATCGCTCGTGGCACTTCTTCGAGATTGTCTTTTACATCATCTTGGGCATCTTTGGCGGTCTATACGGCGCCTTTGTGATGAAGTGGAACCTGCGGGCTCAGGCATTCAGGAAGAAGTACCTGTCAAAGTACGCCATCGCGGAGGCAACGATTCTCGCGGCCGGCACTGCCATCATCTGCTATCCCAACGTCTTTTTGAGGATTGACATGACCGAGAGCATGGAAATCCTGTTCCTCGAATGTGAAGGAGCTGAGGACTACCACGGCCTCTGCGAACCAGACAAGAGACTGTCCAATATCTTGTCACTGGCTCTGGCTACGATCCTCAGAATCCTGCTGGTCATCATCTCGTACGGCTGTAAAGTGCCAGCTGGTATCTTCGTTCCGTCCATGGCCATCGGGGCTTCATTTGGGCGGACAGTGGGTATTATGGTTCAGGCCATTCACGAAGCCAATCCTACGAGTGCTTTCTTCGCAGCCTGCAAGCCGGACGAGCCATGTATCACACCCGGCACGTACGCATTCCTTGGCGCTGCTGCCGCGCTGAGTGGTATCATGCACATTACCGTATCTGTCGTTGTCATCATGTTTGAGCTCACCGGCGCCTTGACGTACATTCTACCCACCATGATCGTGGTGGGTGTGACCAAGATCGTCAGCGAAATGTTCGGCAAGGGCGGCATTGCGGACAGGATGATCTGGTTCAGCGGGTTCCCCTTCTTAGACAACAAGGAAGAGCACAACTTTGGCGTTCCCGTCTCGGAAGTGATGCGAAAGGAGCTTACATCTTTACCCGTGAGCGGCATGGAATTCTCCGAGCTTGAGAAGCTTCTAAAGGAGGACAAGTACCAGGGCTTCCCCGTCGTCGAGGACACAACTTCAAAGATCCTCGTCGGCTACATCGGCCGCACCGAGCTGCGCTACGCCATTGACCGCGTACGGCGAGAGAGACCCATCAACCCGGAGGCCCGATGCACCTTCTCGCCTCCGCCGGCGTCACTCAACGCAACTACTCCACTTACGCCGACTGTGACGGTCAACCTGGACCCGATGTCGACCATGTCGGTTGACTTCAGTCGCTACATCGATACCACGCCCGTCACAGCGCACCCGCGCCTACCACTTGAGACCGTCATGGAACTGTTCCGTAAAATCGGCCCACGAGTCGTGCTCGTCGAGTACCACGGCCGCCTGTCGGGTCTGGTGACGGTCAAGGACTGCCTCAAGTACCAGTTCACAGCCGAGCACGCTGAGAATCCGCGCGATGACTCTGCCTTTGCGGAGAGCCAGGAGAAGCTGTGGAGTGCGATGCGGCGTGCGGCTGGGTGGGTTTCTGACAAGGTGACAACGGCTTCCGGCGGGAGAATCCAACTTTCGTCGTTTGAAGAGCGACGAGGTATGGGCGGTGGAAGCAGAGGTAGTGGTGGTAACAACGGCAGCGGAAGCGGTGGTGGAAGGCCGGCTGGGGCGCAGATATTAGACGGCGACGAGGACGACGTCGATGACGGCGCTTTGGAGCTCGAGAACCGGTAAACGGAGGTTTCCTAGATTTATTTCATTTGGTGCGGGCGAATCTCGGAACTTTGGAGTTTGAAATGTGTGATTCAGGTGGTGAGGGACATGGTCATCTTGGGAGGTCGGGCGTACGTATACAACAATGTTAGTTACGAACATATAGGGGTTTGGGCACATAGACGTCGAATAGATTTGCGGTGTTCAATTGCTGCGAAAGCATATCTCATCGTTCCTTCCCTCCTCGCGGCCCCGATCTTACCAACCTCCCCGTACGAATACACGAGAAGGGTATACACCCCCCCCCCCCTTCCAGTCCATTCCAGTCACCAGCAGGCGCCTCTCTAGGTCGAGAGGTCAGGTCAAACTGGGACAGGTGGCGGAATGGTTTTATGGTCAACGATCGATTTACACATACGCCAACCAGCCTACTCGGCGACAGGCTTAGCGAGTACCCGAGTTCGAATCCCAGCATGAGCACCGAGAGATGTAGCCTCCAGTTCAGCACCGGAGGGGTGAACTCTTTTTTCGTCTTGAACCCTTTGGTGTTGAGACCCTTTTGATATCTAGATGCATAGGGTTGAAGGAAGAAGCAAATGGTTAAGGGTGGTTGAGAGGACTCGCGATATTGAGGCCAGCGCTTTCTGATATATTTCTCGGTTACCTGGCGTTGATTTTGTAACAAGAGTGAAGGAAGTGAGATCTAGGCGTCTTCTCCTTCTTGACGGCATATATGCTAGTGAGTCAGTACTTCTTCGGAGCTCAGGGAGGTTATTCCTTTAATACAAGGCACACTCCTCTTACTTAGGCCATCTAGGTCATCCCCTATTATCCAACCACCCTCCATCCCAGCTCTTGTAGGGACCAAAGATCGATGAGCTATCAATAGGCAGTATCCTTCCGATAATCGAGAGATATAGTTCTAGCCGGAAATGGTAAAGGCCTCCTCCGTTGGCTCGCGGTCCTATATAACGCCATGGACGATAGCTTATTCCTTTTCACTCTTCTAGCTGTGGTGATATTGATAAGTTACACGTCATGCGGATCTCAAGCCACTACATCCATCAATATGCTTCACTTATGGCGAGATAGCGGCCTCTATCCCCCCTTTCAGGAGCTTTAGTAATCATCTTGATTGAAGCGATGGGCTATAGATTCTCTTAGACACTGGACTCGGATATTTCGCATCTCCTAGCTGAGCCTGGTCCCGACATAACATGGGCAAGGGATAATCTCCCTCATCGAGTAGAGTAAAAAGCGCAAGCAAGGTAGTAGTTCTCACTGACTAACCTTGAGAGACACTTCACAACCAGGCACCTCTGCGGTTCAACACAGCCCCACACGAATACACTCCTCGTCGTCCTTCATAGCCCACCAAGTCGCAGAGTCTGTCGGGGTGGGCGAGAAAGTACACTTTGGGCCAGTGGTTCATCGTGCGGCTTCTCCTTCACTGACGCGAACCTGCCATTTAAAGTCTACAGATGCCTGGCGTCTCGCTGTAGCATTATTTATGCCGGTTCGAATCACTTTCTTCACTTTTTTTTCTGTCTCTTTCTTTCTAAATGCAGAGTAAACGAGCATAGCTTGATGAAGCATCGCTAATAGAAACTCGTTTGTACTCTGAGGAGCGGTATACGTCGAGTGGTAGGTAGCGACCACCAGATCATGCAAACACTCATGTGTGGAGCCAGTCGCTTCAGTTGTATACAAGCAGAGAGAAGCATTTGGAGCTCATCTAAGTTCACTCTTAATCGACTCGGGGTATTGTCTATCTATCCAACATGCATGATATATATAAGCAAACATGTACAAGGTCTCCTATCTACAATCGCCTCAGTCTAAGCTCAAGTGCGATGTTCCACAGAGTTCAAGTCCCCCAAATCGACAATATCCTCGTCCTCGGAGTCCTTGTCCTCGTCGCCGCCATCCAGCGGGACCGGAGCGAGACCCGGCTGCTGCGGCACCGGCGCATAGTCGCCAGACTTGTCCGCCTCCTCATCTTTGCGGCCGATGATGACGTTGCCGGCGACGAGCATGGCGGCGCCGACCCACCAGAGCGGCGGCAGCGACTCGGAGAAGATGACGAAGCCGAGCATGGCGGTGATGACAAAGTTGGAGGACGTGTTCATGATGGACACCTGCGTGGTTGACTGGCCTTTGGCGAGTGCTTTTGTGAAGAGAGTCCACATCTGAGGTAAGTGTCAGTTGAGTTCACGTAGGTGAGAATAATAGGCTGGGCAACTCACGATGCCGTTGAAGACGAGGTTGAGACCGAAAAAGACCTGAGACAGGATTAGCAGTTTGATGATGTTGAGTATCCAATTCAACTCACTGCTCGCATGACAACCTCAAAGGCTCCTTCGATATCTTGAAGATGAAGAAAGTTGGAGATTGCTTGAGATATTGTCGTTGTGAGCTCAGTTGTGGTCCTATGCAGTCGTAAGTAAAGCATTCAACAGACCGCAGCCCGACAGTGTGCCCAAGACACTCAAAATGAGCGCATTTAGTTCACAGAACTACCAACTAAGAAACAAGCTGCTCTGGTAAAGCAAAGCAGTGAACTTGGTTCTCAAGCTGTGATGTCGACTCAAAGTGGTAAAAAGTCTTGGCATCGCACTCGATAGTCCCCCGAATGAGCCGAATCGAGAATATCAACTCACAACTTTGCAAACACGCCATTGAAAGCAGCGCAAGCGCCGCTCGCAACGGCGAGCACAATCCACTGATTCCGTCGTGCCCAAGCCATGCTCTCAGTGGCTTGCTCGTCGTCGTCTTCTGCCTCGGTTGGCGGTTCGCTGTGTGCGTCGTCCTCGTGGCGTGGGAGCAGCGGACTGCGCTCATTGTCCAGGGTCGTCGTCGTCGCGCCCGCCATGGTGGGTATCTGATCCTTTTGAGAGCGGCGGTCGGGGGCGGATGCTGCGGCGGCTTGTCGCTGGCGGAGCATTATGTGGAGAGGGAAAGGAGAGGAAGAGGAAGGAGGGAGATTGGGTGTTGGTGTGAGTGATCCCTGCTGATTACTGCTTTGCTTGGATGGGACGGGATGGATGACGGCCTTGGTGGTGGGCTTGGCGATGGGGGATGAGGTAAGGTAGCTCGGTGCGCCGCTGCTACTGCTGCTGCGGTTTCGGTGCAGCAGCAACTCCTGCAGACAGATGTACCCACGTGCCGGATAGAGTGTGTGTGCGCGCAGAGAAAAGAGGAACGGGTTCGCGGGAGTTGGGAAAGTCTGATGGCGACTACTGGCGTGTGTGTCTCAATGGTGTGGATGGGATTGTTTGACAAAGTCCTCGAGAAGTCGCACGACTAGTGTAAGGGGAACATCCCAGTGCGTGCAAATCCAGGGGCACGCGTCCTTGTCTTTCAGAGCCTCGGAGGTGTTGTTTCGCTGTTTGAACGTGGGTCTGACAAAATCTTTGTACTAGTATCACTGGAACTTGAAATAAGTTTTATGATGAACAAAGGAATTCGATTGGCGACCAAGTCGTTGGAATCACAGGCCGTTGAGGCTGAAGGGGAAAAGAAGCGCCAGGTCTACCTTGGTAAGTTATTGTTACCAGTCTCCAATCGCCAATTGTCAGGGAGGAAATCCGACGCGGAACCACTTCGGTTGTACTCCCCGTTTCCGGAAGATGGGGCCCCGGCTGGCTCAACAGTTACCCGGCATCGGCTTCCCCTCTACAAAGTGGCAGGGGCTATTGCTTCAACTTCGAGGCTCAGAAGCCATAACTTGTAAGCACATTATGCGGTAAATCTCCGTCTCTATCCAATTCACCGGTATCACGCATAGATGCCAATGGGGGCCATATCCGACATCGTGACTGGCCCAGTTGGGACAAATGGGACAAGATGACGTATGATGGGCGAGCAGTATTTGTCTACATATTGTGCAGAACAATACAATGGCAAGAACCAAATCACTGCATTGAGCCAATTTCTACAATCCAGCTATAATACCATTCCGGACTTGGGTTTTGGTCGCAGCGAATCATGAATCAAGATTACCAGTCGTAACATAGTTCAAATGCAGGCAGCCAGTCTATTGATGCGCTGACGCAAACCTATGAACGATGCTGTATAAACCTCTGATGGTATCAAAATGGCAATCTTGAAAGAACAAACTCCCGTATCCTTAAACCGTGCCATCGTAAGAGCAAGAACCTGAACGCCTGTAATATGCAGCCACTGGGGGCGCTCGTTGTCGTTCCCATCGTCCTTGTCCGCAAGTGCGTCTCGTTCGTGTATCCGAGTAAGGTGGTCGACGCCGCCTCTGATGCTCACTGTCGTTGACGCATACCCTTCAAGGGCCTTCACCGGGCTTCTTGGCGTTGCAGCTGACGATCTTGACCTTGTCGGCGGTCACGATCTGCCCGCCATTATCAAGCTTGAATTGAACGTTCTTGATAAGAAACGTCCAGACTTCGTCGCAGAATCGGTAGGTGCTCAGGCTTCCCTATGATGCGCGCAACGTTAGCTCTGATTCACAATTCTCGTGCCAATTGGGGCGCATCTTCTGCGCATTCCAAGAGGGAATCGCTTCTAAACTAGAAGTATTCTGGGTTATGCGCCGGAGGCTGGCAATAGAGATTGAACCCCGGCGCAAACGAGCAAGATGGTAAGTAAGCAGCACGTACCTTGAAAGTCAAGCGAGCCTTGACGCTCTTTTGCAGAGCCTCTGTGATGGCCTGGTCGAAGTTGGCCAGGATCTTCATCGCCAACTGAGGGTGAATACGCTCCTCGCTGATGAGATCGTCCAGCATATCTGTCAGCGCAAGGCCGATGCTGCATCAAGCAAATGAGTTAGTCATCTGTAGCACAGGTATGTAGTAATTAATTTGGATGGCGCTGTACCTGCTACGGCGATAAAGCTCGTAGAACGATTGAGGTGCGGCGGCCATCTTGGAGATTTGTTCTGATCTCCTACGGGCGGATCGTTTTAGGCGGTTGTGAGTGTGAAAGAGGCGAGGTTGTATTTATAGTGGCATTGTTTGAGGATATCCTTGGATTCTGCTTATTCATCTGCTGTATGTGGGGCTGACATGCTCTTGCCGTGGCTGATGACACCCTGGTGCCTGCCACGCCTGTCAGTCTTTCTTGCCTTGACTCTGGCTCGCATTACCTAAGGATGCATCAAGCCACATCATGTGACCTTCCCGATTCTGGATCCCTCTGCCTTACCTCAGATACCTTACCTCACTGGCCTGGACTAGAGAGCTCGACGTAGCTGCAACGCCCCCCAAAGCCCTCCACCGTCAACAACAACCACGACACAGGCAACGCAACGCACCGAATCGAGCACGATGAGTCTCACATATGGCCTGGGAGGCATTGGGAGCACCCTTCTCGTTGTAGGAGCTTGTACGAAACCCCATCTCCGCGATGGCATCGACTATTCCGCGAATCACAGTCCCAGCTAACACCTTTTAAATAGACATGCTCTTCACGGGATCGGGCGAGGCTTTCAACGTCGGCGAGTTCCTCGAATCTATCTCACCCTACGCGTGGGCGGACACGGGCATTGCCCTTTGCATCGGTTTGTCCGTTGTAGGCGCGGCATGGTATGGAGCGAAGCTTCCCAGCAATTGACGACACAGGGCCAATGCATAATCTAACATGGCGACCAAATCTAGGGGTATTTTCATCACCGGCTCCTCCATCCTCGGCGCGGGCGTCAAGGCCCCGCGTGTGCGAACTAAGAACTTGATCTCCATCATTTTCTGCGAAGTCGTCGCCATCTACGGCGTCATCATGGCTATCGTCTTCTCCGCCCAGCTCGAGAACGTCCAGGGTGAGGTTCTGCACGACGGCAACAGCTACTACACTGGTTTCGCCCTCTTCTGGGCCGGTATCACCGTCGGAATGTGCAACCTCATCTGTGGTGTCGCAGTCGGCATCAACGGCAGTGGAGCCGCGCTGGCCGATGCCGCCGACCCTACACTGTATGTTTGTTCCAGATACGATGAGCGATCTTTTACATGTGCTAATTAGCCGGGGTACAGTTTCGTTAAGATTCTCGTTGTCGAGATTTTCAGCTCTGTCCTCGGTCTTTTCGGTCTGATTGTTGGACTTCTTGTCTCTGGCAAGGCCAACGCTTTCGGTAAGGCATAAGGCATAACAAGCTGTCTACACGATATGAAAGGTTCGAAAAGAGGAGGTTTATCACCGACAGCATAGCAACTATCTACCTCGGACACGATGTACAGTGGAGCACTGCATTACACCAAGGTTTACTTGGGCGGGCGTTAATGGCATACAGGCAGGGCGAGGACATTTTGTATTGTACACTATCAACGTATTATAGCTCCTCATCGAGATGATTTCTGCGCGTCATAAACTTTCGACCTCTGATTCGCTTAGTATAGGATCTCGGCCCAAGTCATTTACACGTAGCTGGTGTATTCTATCGGGTATAAGAGTTGACGAGTATCCTTTGAGCTCCGTGCAAGCACAGCTAGGCACATGAGGGATCAACGTTACTGACTGAAGACCGAAGATCATGTCATCATACACGCATTCTTATTATTGGTACGGGTGTAGCTTAACGATTCAATACTCCACACGGATGTCCCCCATCATCAGAGCCTCCACCTTGGCCCCCTTCTTCAACGGCTGCGAACCGGCCGGGAGAGCGAGCAGGGCATTTGCAGACTTTAGGCTGCCAACCTTTGAGCTTCGTTGACCGCCGGTACTGCTCGCAGACAGAGACCCGTCCTTTCCGACAGTGACTATGGCGCGGTGGTATTCTGGCCGAGTCTTGTCGAGAGAGAAATCGTGACCCAACGTCACGGGAACCTTGGGCAGGCCCGCGGGCTCGATGCCAGACAGCTTATGCAGCGCCGGCAGGACAAAGAGGTGAAACGTCACCAGGGCGGACGCCGGGTTTCCCGGCAGCGAGAAGATGGTCTTGGTGACCCGCTTTCCGAGCGTCGTCTTGACGGGCACCGTGGCGAACGTGGTCGGCTTGCCGGGCTTCATGGCCACGCGGCCAAAGTGGATCGTGCCGCCGAGGGCCCGCTCGATGGTCGGCTTGAGCAGGTCCAGCTCGCCCATGGAGACGCCGCCCGTGGTGATGAGTAGATCGCTGCGGCGGAGCCCTTCGCGTAGGTTCTCCTCGAGGGCCTTTTCCTTATCACGCGCGATGCCGAGGTCGACGACTTCGAAACCCCACTGGCGGGCTGCAGACATGAGGGTGATGCGGTTTGTGTCGCGGACTTCGCCGAGGCGAAGGCCGCCCGGGCGGGAGGGTTCGATGATCTCGTCGCCCGTGGAGAGGATGCCGACGACGGGGCGCTTGTAGGTTTGGACTTCTGCTACGCCGACGGCTGCGAGGAGACCGATTTCGCCACCGACGCCAGAGATTTGTTCACCCTTTCTGAGGATTGTGTCGTTTTCTTGAATGTCGCTGCCGACTTCACGGATGTTCTCGCCGGGTTTGATGCCGTCAGCGAGAATCTCCACCTCCTTTTCTTCCTTTTCGTCCTTGGTTTTGGATTTCAGAATGGTGTCCTCGACCATGATGACCGAGGTGGCTCCCGGGGGTAAAGGGGCTCCTGTTGTGATTCTCGCGATTTCTCCTTCCTTGAGGGTCTTGACCTCGCCTGGGGCGGCGTGGGATACTGCGGTGACGGGGAAGACGCCCTTCATGTTGCCGTCCTCGGGTACCACCACCGCGTACCCGTCCACAATGGATGCCCTGAAGGCCGGGACGCTTTCTCTGGCCGTTACGTCTTCTGCGAGAACCGAGTTGATGATGTTGACGTCTACTTTGGTCGTCACGACCTCGGCATCAGGGGTGAAGTCTTTGATCAGTCGCAGGGCATCGTCAACTTCCAGCATCGGGTACGGTGACTCTCTGTATCTGCGACTTGGGCCGAGACTCGGATCGTTGGAGAGGGGGTTTTCTTCCGGCTTGGTGTGTCTGACTAGGCCCCCATGGCCATGGCCGTG